TAAAAGCAACCATCTCCTCCTGTTTCTGTGGCAGAAGTGAGAATGTATAGTCTTAAAACGTGCTTATTGCAAGGCCATTTCCCATGTACAAATTTATTTATTTATTTAGGAGGCTTCTATGCTGCCTCATTCGCCGAAGCCTCGGGGCGGCTCGCAACAATAAATAAATAGTCACAATATAAAAACAATATAATTTGAGTCGACCTGGCCAAAGAATAAAATAAATAAATAATATTAACAATTAAAATAACACTTAAATAAAAAGGTCTTTGCCTGGCACCGAAAAACAGATAACGACGGCGCCAGGCAGACCTCTCTGGGGAGCGCATTCCATAGATTGGGCGCCACCGCAGAGAAAGCCCTCCTCCGAGTAGTCACCTTCCTAATTTCCTTCACGGAGGGTTCCCGGAGAAGGGCCTCTGCCGCTGATCTCAAGGGGCGGGCGGGCATATATGGACATAAGCGCTCCTTCAGGTAACCAGGACCCAAGCCGTTAAGGGCTTTATAGGTCATAACCAACACCTTGAATTGGGCCCGGACTTCAATGGAAAGCCAGTGAATTTGACGGAGAACTGGAGTCGTGAACTCCAGTCCCCATCAGCAGCCTGGCAGCTCTATTTTGAACCAATTGAAGTATGCGGACCGTCTTCAAGGGCATCCTCACGTAGAGCGCGTTACAGAAGTCAAGTCAGGAAGTCACCAACGCGTGTGTCACTAGGCAGTCGTTCTCCAGGTAGGGACGCAGCTGATGGATCAGCCAAAGCTGAAAGAAAGCGCTTCTCGCCACCGCTGTCACCTGAGTGAAAGCTCTGGGTCGAGGAGCACTCCCAAGCTGCGGACCTTGTCCCTAAGAGGGTGTGCAACCCCATTCAGGACTAAGTTCAGGGCCCCTTCCCCGAAGCCCAGTCCACCAACCAACAGGACCTCCGTCTTGTCTGGATTGAGCTTCAGTTTATTGGCCCTCATCCAGCCCATTACCTCGGCCAGGCACTGGTTCAGTACAGCCACTGCCTCACCTGGATTTAAATCAGTTAAATAACCTATTAATCAACTACAACTCATACAATGGAAGGTACAATCCCATGTACATTAGAAAAAATCCTACAAGTCCCATGCACAAATGCTGGGAATTATAGGTATTTTATGTCTAAATATGCATAAGAGTGTGCCCCAAATGACCAAAATTTCTTTAGTCAAATGACAGCTCTAGACATTACATAAACCCTGTCTCTTTTGCAATATTGTCAAAGCAAAATATCTTTAGAATTGATACAAGAAGGATTGGGTCCACACTTAATCATGTTTTGTGGAGACTCATTGAAATAAATGGGCCAAGTTAGTCATGATTAACTTAAGTCCCATTCATTTCAATTGGTCTACTTTAGAAGTAGGAAACCTCAGACCCAAATCTAGTCCTTCAAATTCCTCAGATGACCCTGCCCCTTTCCTGCAACTGCTGATTTTTGGTGGTTTCTGGCAGTTTTTATTCTATTCTAGAAAGCTGAAATGCTTCTCTTCGGGCTATTCATTGGAAGTAAGAGCTTTAAGCTATAATATGCCTGTGGGGAGAGTTGGTATTCTTTGCCGCACACACCACTGGAATGCTGTCTTCCCTCCAGAGCCCTTATTACTGCTTTCAGACCTCAGGCTAAAGGAAGTTCTGCAGCTCTCCAATAGGTCAAGTATGACTACATATTGGCTCCAACCCATTGTTTCTGTATACCAGTTGTTGTTCCTATTATGTGTGTCTTTACTTCTTAACCAGTGGTGAGGAAACCTGTGTGGTGATGGTGGTTGTGTGCAGTCGTCACTGATTTATGGCGACCCTATGAACGCAAACCCTCTAAAAAGTCCTACCCATGACATCCCTGCTTAGCTGTTCTAAATTCAAGGCTGTGGCTTCCTTGATGGAGTCGATCTCTCTCTTATCTAGTCTTCCTTTTCTCCTGCCTTTCCTCTCCTCCTTCTGCCTTTTCTTCTTCTGCCTTCAACTTTCCCTAGCAGGGAGACCTGGGACCCTCCTGATATTGTTGGACTCTAACACCATCAGCCCCAAGCAGTATGGCCAATGGTCAAGGATGGGAGTGATCACCATCCAACCTCTGCAGGGCCACAAGTCTGACCTCTGCAGAGCCACAAGGAAGGCTGGTTTAAGTAAAACTTGCACACACACATCAAATCCCAACCCTGTGTCAGCAGTGGTCTCCTGGATTTCTCTTCTAAGCATGAAGCTCTTGTTGAGAACAACCAGCACACAATCCTATGTGTCTTTATGTTTATTATTACATTTATATTCCAACTTTCTTCCACTCGCAAGTAACCCAAGCCAGCTTGTCACATCCTCCTCCTCCATTTTCTTCTCACATTGGCCCAGTCGCCCAATGAACTTCATGGCCAAGTGGAGACTAGAACTCCAATTTTCTGAGTATCAATGCAACACTCTGGTTTATTATTATTCTAAATGGGCTCTTTTCAACAATTCTCAGCATTCAAGAGTCAGTAAGAACTTTCTTCTGTCTCAATATATGAAATGAGTTCATGTGACTGTTGTTTTTCTTGTAGATATGGGGTAGCAATATTTCTGAACTCCCCACCCCCACAGAATCCCAATGATATCAATATTCTGCCACCCCCCACTAAAAAAAAGTCATTCACATGCTGTGGTCCAGATAAAAATTAAACAAGTTTCCATGCATTTGCATTGCATTATTTGTCTTTGTTTTGTGTAATGTATTCTTGTTTCTAAAAAGTAAAAATCTGAAGCAGATTCTACAATTGCACAGCTGTGAAAAAGATGCACAGGATACAGTAGCTCTGAACTGATTAAAATGTTCATGCAACCTAGTGCTAAAAGACACACAGCCCTATTCAACACCCCAAACCGCACGTTTCGCTGCTTTTCCTTCTCACACACTCAAGGAAAAAACACCAAGAAAAGTGAGGGGGAAGGGCAGAAGAGTTCTTGCTAAGCAGAACACACAGTTCAAAATAAAGTACCACTTGCAATGTCTGTGCACATATAATGCATAGATTTACAGGGAGGCATCAGAAAAAGGATGCTAGAGAACTGTTTTGCAACGTGTAACGGACGAGCTTCCAAAGCTTCATGGACAACATTCAATGCTATAACCCAGCTGCATGCTGAGTTTTACTTTATTTTATCATTCTTTCCCACTGTGATTGTGACATTTTGCAATCACAGATCTTTTTCTTTCAAATGCTTCCTTATACATCAGTAAATCTGTAAATCTAGAGTTAGTGTGGCATGGTGATTAGAATGCTGGATGGGGAGCTGGGAGATCTCGGTTTTAGTTCCTAGCTGGCCATGAAGCTCACTGGTGACTCTGGGCTAGGCACTGCATCCTAGCCTAACCTCCCCACAGGGTTGTTGCTGGGAGGATACAATGGAAAGTAGAACCTTGCAAGCCATCTTGGGTTCCGCACAGGAGAAAAAAAGGCAGATATACACAGTAGCTAATATAATTATTTATGTTACTAAACTGCTTTTATTTGTATGGCATGCTTTTTCTACTCAGCAGCCATCTCCCCTGCTTTCTTACTGTAACACCCCACATTTCCCAGGCAGCATAGAAATGTAATAATAATAATAATGATGATGATGATGTTGTTTCCAGCCCTTCCTTTGGGGCTGCCACCTCCACCTGAGTTTTGTCACAGTATCATATTGACTACAAGTGGAATAGCATTACACACAGCACAGAGTGGTATTTACACAGGTCTTTTATTAACACACGTGAAAACAATTTGAGCCTACAAGTGGTGTGTGTTATGTGTGGGTGGTTGGGAGGGGGCATTTTGTGTGGGTCAGAGGTCATAAGCCCTCCGGGATCCATGTGAAACTGAGCTAGGTGGATTCCATGCAAGGAAGAAAAGAGGTGGGTCAGAGCATGGCAGAGTGAATCAAGAGATGTGCGGAGTGGCTTCAAGGGCATTCTTGCAAGGGGAACAGCCACCAAACACACCCAGGAAGTAACGCTAGCAAGCCTTCACAAACTGCAGGAAGGCCCCAGAGGTCTTGTACAAACACCAACTATCCCACGATACTCAGGAGGTCAAAAGAGGGCAAGGGGCTAATTTTTATTCCCCACAATCCTTTGCACTAACTTTCAAATGGTGGTGGTGGTGGTGTCCCCTGCAATACACATGCACAACCATTTGCCACAGCTAGGAAGGAGAGCGGTGCTTAATTTCCCTCTGACAATCTTTTCCACGGAATTGCAATGCGGTTGCCAGTTTTTATCTCAGTATTTGCTCTAATTTTTAAGGTCCTTTCCTTTGTTCCTTTTGTTCTGTTCTTGTCGTTTGTACCAGCTTCCACAAGAATGTTGGTTATTTTTTTTCTTCACAGTCCATTATGTGGGATCCCCAACCAAGTTGGAGGGTTTTTCCCCCAGGCAGCTTTTCTTCAGCTCTTGCTGCCCACATTAGGAGGGAATAGGAGGAAATCACAGGAAGGGATGTAGAATGGGAAAGGGGCAGACAACCAAGGGACCATCCCCTTTCACATGGCACATTATGCCCACACTGAGGGAAGGAGGAAGCTCAGCACCAACACAGACACAGTTGTCTTACAAACACAAAGTTGAGGAAGGCAAACAAGCTGTCCTTCTCTACTATTCCCTCCTCTACACACTGGCTGGGTTCAGACAGTACAATAGCCCACACTCGGGGCTTGCATAT